AGGTACCCTTATGATGGGAAACCAAATGCATGGCGCTTCCCGGAAAAGATTTGGTGAAATGTTGAGTAATGATTGCGGTGGAGGTGGTGTAGTTGCAAACGGCACGCTCACCACCTGCGCTATCCGAGAGGCAGACCTCGGACCAGCTCCCACCCTGGCCAACCCGGACTCCTACCGATAATATGAAACCAGACTTGTCTGGGAGGATAGAAACACTGTACATCGGCTGGCCTCCGCAAGTCATTGTATAGGCCACATCGCATTCAATAAGCCACTACGATTCTGAATGGAAGTAGAATGCGTGTCCGCATCCAAAAGGGATTGATCAGCGGCAAACACTTTATCCTTTTCATAAGCTTATGATTTTGCACTCAGCCATCGAAACATGGTGTTCTGGTCTAGTCCTCTGCACTGACCGTACCTTTCCTAAGACCGCGTTCATACTTCGCAGCTTGAGCAGTATGGTCGCGCGAACTGTGAACGACCGCGCTTCACCGCTTATTCTAAAACCGCTGCGAATGGCAGTGGCTTGATTCCCGACTCGCACAACTGAATTGCTCGAGTCGCGAATTATGAACACGGCCTCATGTGACACCTCTTCAATACATCGATCATAGAATTTCTCGGCGCTGTTCGGCTTCGGGGGTACTTTGTACACTCGAGATCCCTGAGATCGGGTAGGCGCATGTTTCAACTTACCCTTAAGGCGTCTACGCTTCTGATGCGATATTTTCATCTCGACACAATTGTTGTCGTGTCTCTGTCCAACGCAGAACAAGATGACAGTTGTCCCAGACTGGAATATTCCACTAGTAACCAGTTCCTTACAGTGTTCGAATGCCCGCCTACCCGATCTCAGGGATTTCGAGTATACTTTCGTTGGTTCCTTTTGTTAGTCCATGCTATGTGACAGATCTCACTTTGGTCAGGCCTGATAGCTTCTGTGGAGCTGCGAAATGCCGCAAATGAGCCACTTTGGTCGCACGAATTTTTAGGTCTTTAGAAGGTGGCTTGAAAAAGCTTAGCTGAGTGCCATCCGATGCCCCCACCAAGCCGAACTGCGTCGATTTGTGTACTCAAGTAAGCTTGACGAGCTGAAGAACTATTATCATCTCTCCAGCCTCTCACGTGCCATGACGGCAAGCCACATTTGCCAGAATACCTGCGCCGCTTAGAAGGCTACTCAAGCCTTGTGGTCAACGATAAAAAGCCTAGGTGATTTTGCATGTGGATGTAAATTCGCCAAGTGAACCATCCATAATATGAAGAGAAACCAAAGGGAACGTTGGAAACGCATTCGTCAGGCCTCCTCTAGCCTCAAACAACTGTAGAGGTAAAAGACCGAAAAGACCGCGCGCTGGGACAATTCCCGTCCCAGTAATGAACCCTATGACTCTACAAGAGACATGAATGCATCCACTCCATGATACTTGCCCGGGAGCATTACTTTTGGCTGGAAGGCCGACTTTGGAGGCGGAGTCTGGAGGCGGAGTCACTGGAAAAGGGATGTACCACTGAAGCAACTTTGCGCCTTAATCCCTTTACCGTACAACTTTCCGCCGCGAAACTGGCACAGGTTGTCCACTCCGGACCGCACTACCTTCCCACATAACGTATTACATTTTCATAGTAGCGATTTCCTCCTTTAACTGCACTATAACAAAGCCTCATTCACGGGAACAAATCGCCCAGAACAGTCCTCACATCTCTTCTCGTATGGGAAAATCTTTGAAAATGAGAAAAAAATACCGAATTGGTTGAAAAACCGAGCAAATGAGAAGTCTTGGGGGCGGGGAGGGGGTTATAAGCGAAGCTGTAGCTCAGCTGTTCTTTCGCAAATGTTCACGAAATCGTGTGGATAGATTCTGATGTTTTCATATTTATTACACTGTAGTCACAATACAATTAATTCATGAATGAATAGTACTTACATAAATAATTACCGTAGTTATATCAATAATTAAGAAGTCTTCTATACCCTGAGTAGTTTTTCACTCCATGCATAGGCGGAGATGCGCTGTAGCTAATACTCTATATATAAGAGAAAGCTGTGTGGAATCTTAATCAGCCATTTTCCATAGTGGGTGGAGCTAGCAGGCAGGAGTTCTTAGGACGAGTTCTCATGCTCTTGGGGTATAAGATCGCTTGAGCAGGACAAAGATCACACCGATGAGGGAAACGATCAAGGAAAGAACAGTGGCCGCTGGGAGGACCAGGTGGTGTTTGGCAATACAATCTTGACCGCCTCGTAATCGTTGCAGGACCGATGCGATACGTCTTTCGTCGGCGTCGAAACCAAAGTCTGAAATAAGGAGTTCGGCTGAGGCAGACGGATCAGATCATTTGACTTACCAATCTGCGGGTCCAGCACATCAATCTGCTGAGCGCGGACGTCCACCTCAACGCTGCCATTGGCATCCAGAAGCGGGATCTGAAAGGGCGGAGTTTTCCACTTTGTGGGCGGAGATTCCCACGGGTCGCGACCTCCGTGGGTACAATAATACTTCCGTGATTTGTCGAAATGTGCGAGAAAATGACAAGCGCTAATTTTGATAATGTCTTGAATGGCACTGGGTGTTCACCACCCAAACTGGGTGTTCATCACCATTATCCCAACAGGTTATGGGTTAAACTGTGCGCGATGCACACCGCCAAGAAGGTACAAGTGCTAAGACAATCCCATTACGGTATGTGTTTTTCCCCCCTCTGCCGCCAGCGAATGAACTCCCATCCCTTTCAAGACAAGTGGAATGAGATATAAACTTAAGGCGCCAACTTTTCCCGAACAGCTTTGCGGGCTGGGCGGTGCAAGCCTTGTGGGCGTGGCTTCCCACTCATAACAATGCGTAAGGCTCACCTCGTGAATGAATCCGGCTGATCGCGGTCGTAACCGTCTGATAGGATCTTCACATGTGGGGATCTAAAAGTGGATGAGTAGGAGATTGATTATCGATTGTTGACGTCAAATCAATACTTACCGCACACTCAGTATCGCCTCGTAGATCGAGACGCACGCTGCATTGGAAGTTCACCACGACCTGCAGAAATCAGGGGTCAACTATTGATTTATTGATCGATTTGAGTGAGTAAGCTTCGGCCAGCTTTACTCATAAAGCCTACCTTATCGGCAAATTTAAACGCATGTGCCTCCTTCTGTGCTCGTAGCGGACCGGGGCCATATTCGAGATTGTCCAGAAGATATCGGTCGATGGAGCATCTAGAAAATTACGGTCGACAGGGATGGTATGCGTCTACGTACTCTGTCGACTATCCCAGCTAGTCCTGTACTTCTTTGCTAGATGAGTCTCATTTGGCTAAATGGGGATCCCTCTCTACCGCAGGACTGACAAATAGAACAGTAAGTTCCTCTTATGGCGGCAGTGTAAAAGATGCATATTGATCGAACTTGGAAGCAAGTCGGTAAATAGAAGTAGTATGGCTGGGCATGTTAGGCTGCGTAATCAGAAATTCCTGCCATTCTCATGTCCTGACACATTCTGTCCAGAGCTAAGATCAGGCGATACGCTCACCTAGAGGTCGTACTGCACCGGAATCGGGATATAAGCGTCACTTAAGTCAAGGTGGTCGGGTCGCATACATTTTAACTAATTTACATCTATTAAGGGCGGGCACGATAGCTGGGGGCGGGCGGTCATTGCCAACGTCATTGGTGAAAGGGCTGCGAGACGGCGTTTAGCCACACCTCACTCAGCCCTTACACCAATGACGGTGGAAGGATCCGCCCGCCCCCAACCATCGTGCCCACTGCCTTTACGATATCTTAAATCCTCCTTAAAGTATCATATATTATTAGCTGTTACCCTTTGTCATCCAAAATGGTGAAGGTCGTTCCAGAACCATCCTCAACATGGCACGAATGAACAGTCATGCACCAGAAATCTGAAAAAGACCGCTATCATCTGTTTATTCAATGGAAAATTCGACTTTAGACTGTCCTTTTCGGTATATATGGTAAGGATGGGAGACTTTCAGGGTAAAGCATAGGGACAGCTGAACAAAAAGAACCACGGGTAATGCAAGCTGACGTATTAAACCGGTCATCTGAGATGGGGGCCATGGTTTGGTGCGGGAGAGGTAGAGGGGAGGGAAGAGAATTCTAAGATGACGGACATTTTTATCGTTGAACCATGCATTATTCTGCACTGTGGGTCATAAACATCACCGCGCTCAATAGCGCGGAGAGGTAGGGGCGGAGTTACTTGATCAGAGCGCACCAATGAGAAAAGCGCAGTGGTCCGTGTTAGATAGCCCATAAAATCAGCACCGACTGTGTCCCAAAGGGGAGCTCTCACCCAGGGCTCGATTTATGGGACAACTCCAACTCACCAGGTGATG